ACTTTGGCATGTTTACAATAAATATTTTACACTTTTCGTACCCTTTGGCCTCTTGTTAGTGCTTCTGAATTTTCTTCCTTTTAGATTGTCTTCGCAGTTTTACAGACTTGGAAGAACTTGATGAGACAGAGCTCTATATGTGCCACAAATGTAAAAAGAAACAGAAATCCACCAAAAAATTCTGGATTCAGAAACTACCAAAGGTTAGTGCAAATATCAGTGTGTGGTGAAACTTTAAAGGAAATTAATAACTTGACCAATAAACATGTAACCATAATCAAAGACTTAACCTAATGAACTCTGTCTTTCATGTTTAATACCATAGGTGCTATGCTTACACTTGAAACGATTTCACTGGACAGAATATCTGAGAAACAAGGTTGATACATATGTAGAATTTCCTCTCCGGGACCTAGACATGAAATGCTACTTGTTAGAGGTACAGAGACTCTTACTGATATATACACTGGAAATTTATTCTGTTTTATTGTATGTTATGGAACATAGAAGGTGCCAGTTGACTTCTTAAAAGCTGTTTTCTCTACTTTGAACTGCAGCCGGAGAACAGTGGCCCAGAAAGCTGTCTATATGATCTTGCAGCTGTTGTTGTACATCATGGTTCAGGGTAAGTATGCTGAGTGAGTACCTGAGGTGACGTACTGGCCTTACTGAAGGCAGTGGCCAAACTCCTTTTGACTTCATTTGGGGTCAGGACTTCACCCCTAATGTGCATGTTGGTTCTAGTAGCCGCTATGCTAATATGGAAATAAAAAGCAGCTTTATATTCCGATGGGGACTTTTACCAAAAATGTTAATTGTTCAAAATATCGGAGGTCGCCTGCTGGGAATCTCCACTCTTGTCCCCTGAGTAATAGGTGGAAATCTGACACTTATTGAAAATGAGGCCAGTCCCTTTGCGACTTTCAAATTGGAAAGTAAAGTCATTCTGGAAAGTATTTAAACTGAGTGAAAGGTCCTATGGCCATAAAAACTGACATTTCATGTAGCCACTTACAATTAAATTTCAGTGTTTCTTCTTTGTTTGTTCAGCTTAAAAGCACATGCAGATTTATGCGAAGGGAAAGTGCTCATCTAGAACAATGTAGACTTTAGACTGGCAGACTGACAGCAGTGGTCCTCTCCCCCAGGAGTGAAGCTTCAAACTGAGAGCCAACCGGGATGCTGTGAAGTTGGACAGTAGTTGTATTTTGAATAAAAGATATTTTGCAGCCCTTGATGGATCCTTTGAGAGTCAGGAGTAGTGACATGAGGACTTTCTTCCTCCAGGATATTGTGTAATCAAGTCCCAAGATTGAGGGATGGTGGGACAATTCTTTAGAAGAAACTACACCGTTTTCTAATAGTGGGAGTTCTTGCTGTTGTCCCTGGAACTCACTTTTCTATCTCAGTTGATTTGAGGGTGTTTTCAGCAAACATGTATTTGAAAACGTTCACTCTAGCAGGTTGCCCTTGTTGCTTTCTGCCGAAGATGAGTGGTCTGAATCTGAAGTAGTACTAAATCAAACGGTATGACTTTCAAACGGAGTCTTCATTAGGACTACCACAGAACGCCCCTGGCAGCTGCTTCAAAGCTCAGAGAAAACAAAATGTAGTTGTAATGGACATCCAGTGTAAACTGGACATGATTGGAATGGAATTAGACAGGTGTGAACTATGATGATATATAAGATACAGCTGTTAGTCATGCAAGTGTGAGATGGCCTTGTCTTGAGGCAGCATGGGTAATGAAACTTGGCTGTTTTCTGGTTCTTAATTATATGTACAAGGATTCGAGACATGGGATCTGTATAAAAACTTCAGTTAGTTTCCAGCCTATGTTCATTGTGATGACACTTTCCCTGTGCGCTTGCTTTGAAATCATGTACCTCAAACAGGATTCTGCTAGAACTAGTTGTAAGGAATTCTGAATATAAAATTAAATGACAGAACATGGTAAAACTCAAATTTTATTTCTGTTTGTAGGCTGATGATTACTTTTATCTTAATACTGAACCTGATCTTACAGAGGCAAAACTTGCATTGAAGTTCACTGGGAGTTTTGCTTGCCTGACGGGGTTGGATTATGCTAACACTTTGATAGATACCTTTTATGAAGTCCCAAAAAGGAACCAATTGTCTGCATGTGGTTGGTATCAAATCTTGATGCTACTAAAGATGCTATTGCATGGAATATCTTTCTTAAACACCTTTGGGCTTAAGCTAACAATTATGGAGGCTGTCCAGTTTCCCCCTCTCTAACCTGGGTGAAGCCTTGTGATAGAAGATAGTCAATTAGCGCTTGCCCTGTTATCCTGTTCAGTGGAGAATGAGGTGGTAAATTTCCTTTTGTTGATCCCACTTGGTGTGTCTCTTTGCTTTCAGTGTTGGCTCTGGACATTACACAGCCTATGCAACTCATGAAGGTCGCTGGTTCCATTTCAATGACAGTACTGTAACTCTGACCGACGAGGAGACCGTGGTAAAGGCAAAGGCCTACATCCTCTTCTATGTGGACCGGCAGGCCAAATATGGATCTGATAAACTTTAATACCTCCTTTTAATCCTCACTTATCAAGTCCATCGGACAAAACATTTCCAATTCTCCATAAATACTTGATCCAAGACTATTATTTTCATTGTGCACTTTCCAACTTCCTCGTGTGGGTTTTAGTTTTGTTGTGTCAAAGGTAGCAGTTGACTTATTGAACTTCGACACAAACTAACTTTTTTTTTTTTAGTTCTACCAGAAAACCTCAGCAGATATTTTGATTTGTTGCTTTAGCTGTGATAACTCAATTTTTATATATATAGTTTCATGAACTACTTAGCTATTCGATATTATTGTTTTCAGTTCTCACTTTCTAAAGGCACATTTACATCAGAGAAGTTTTTATATCCTCTTTATAAGCAAGAGAAATGTGTTCCTGATTATGAAGAGCAATAGAATTTCATGCTGCTCTCACAGCTGTTTTGTAGATAAGATTGAATCACTTGTAAATCAAGGAATTGCTTGCACATACTGTTTGCCCCAGTGCAAGAAACTTAACAGTGACCTCTGAATAATCACTCTTTGCCTGCAGAAGAGATGAGATGAGATATCATTAAGTAGACTGGGTAATTGCTGCTATCAGTGTGTATCAAGGCTGCTGTCTTTCAGGACTCCTTGTAAATAAATAGTTGATTCAGTTGTATTTGTACTGCAAATTCAAGTGTTTCTCATTTGTACTTTTTCCCCTACAAAAGAGACATGTAAATTATTACCCTAATCATATATGTGTCTTGGGATTTTAATTTACTTTTTTTAAACTGAAATGGAATTGCTAGGGTGATGTCTCAATTTTTAGCATTTATCCCAAAGTTTGATAGCAAGCACTTGCTTTTGAAGCTAGCAGGCTCCGTGGGATTGGGCCACTGTCCCTTTTTATATCCTAAAATGAGAGTTCAATGTGGGGGCTTCAGAGAGGAGAGGTTTTGTCTCAATATAACCCCCATTTGCCCACATCCCCTTCCAACTCTATTTAGGAGTGAAAGACAGGTTTGTTATGGGTTTGGAGATAGAACTACTTGCCATGCAAAGTCTACCTAATCCAGACTCAGGCTCAAAGTGGTAGGGAAGATGTATTCAAATCTATATGCAGCGATATTACAGCTCATGCAAATTGTGGAGCTAACACTGCACCTTGAGGTGAGCATATACCCTCACTAACTGCAGTATTTAATTAGTAGTTCAACATTTCTCATGGTCTCTTTCCCAAAAGAAGAGGCAAGATATTATTTCTGATGTTGAAATGTAAGCCATCTGTTTATATTAAGCCTCTTATCAGCTTAATGGAAGACGAATTCATTGTTAGCAGCTGGAATTTCAGCTGTTCTGGTACTGCTGGGAGAGAGGAGCCCAGTATAAATTGAATGACACTTAACTCAGCTATCCCTCCTCCTCTGTTTGCCTACTGCCTTTCACCACACTCCCATCATCTCAAAAGCCTGTGGGAAGGCTGGAGCTCCCTGCCTGCCAAGTCAGCTATCCCACCAGACCTGTCTTACTAGTGATATAGGCCCATGAGTTTACAAACGGGTGTGTTTATATTTAACTGAGTAAAAACATCTGCCTTCCCCTGGTTGCATCTCCTTGAAGGGCCACATTAGGCAGCAGGTAGATGTAGTATGCATTTCAGTATTAGTTGACTAAGCACTGTGCTCCTGACAATTGCAGAAAAGTTTTAATTACCTGTTTGGTCCTTCTCAGATGGCTTTTACCACTATCATTTAAAAAGAAATTGGCTTTGTATAAAACTGCAGAAATGTTCAATATTGCTAAACTGTGTATGAAAATATGTAAACTATACACTTACCTAAACCTAGTAGTGACTATCACTTGATATGTTAAGTGGCAGATATACCAGGATGTCTTTATTTTGTTGTTGAACAATAAATAATTATTCAATGCTTCAAACTGTAGCCATCAGCTTGTTAACTACTGTTTTTAGACCTTATCTTCTGATTAGAACCAGCAGCTGTTACCACATTTAAACAAAATAAAAAGGTAATTGGCAGAATTCATTAACTGATGGCAATTCTGGGGCTTAAACCTTGGGCCACTGGTACCTGAGCCAGTTCTGTATGTTACTTAGATTGCTCTAGAATTTGTTTGTTTAATATATGTGTTGAGAATAACAATCATGTAATGATCTGGACAATTTGTTTAACTCTCAGTGAATTTAGTGCATATTGTTCAGCCACTCAGTGATGTAAATGTGCCTTTCTGTATTTTTAGGAACTTAAGTTCGTAAACTTCATCAACATTATTCCCTTCATTTTAAAGGCATTTGTTTCTCTTAAGTCATCAACTTTGTCTCTTACACTTTTTTCCTCTCAATACAATTTCTCATGCATCATAAGTGAATTGTCTTAGCCAATGGGATATGTCTTATTCTGTTTAGGACATGGCCCTCAGAACACCATGTAGTTGTCATAGTTTGTTCTTGAAGCAGTTTCTGATACAACTTAGCCATGTGTCTATGGGACAAGTACACTGTAAATCCTTTCCTAATGTAGCTTACTCCCACTGCAAACACAGATGGACAGTATAAACAATTTGTTGTGGCAACACAAGTATTTCTCTTCCTGGTGGAGAATTTTCCTTATCCACTGTATTCTAGTCAGTGTCCAAAAAAAAAAAAAAAAAAACACCAAGCAACTGAACCAGTCACCTATACTGTACCTGGCTTAGTATTGAATTTTTAACCTTACATGTATATGCTATATTTATCTACTTTCTTTGAGCAGATTGGGGGAAAATGTCATTTTGAGCCCAATCTGTTTCTTTTCTATTAGTCACTGCTGATCTGATTTGCCTTCTGCAAGCCAATGTTTTTTGCAGTTCAAAAACTTGGCCAGTATTCTACACCAAAAGAAAAAGGTTGTCCTTGGGGGGTGGGGGTGTTCATTGTTTAAAGTTGCATCTACAACTGGAAATGCAGTTTATGTAAAACTAGTGGAATTCACAGTTGGTCATGCCTGCTTCAGCAGATTGCATAGTCCCATACAGTAGGGTGCTTTTCCCAGTGATCAATGATGTCATGTGAAGTGGGTTTAAAGCAGAAAGCCATTTGTAAGACTTGCTGAATGGAGAGAAAGCGTGACACTTGTGGTGTTCAAAAGTCTGCCTAATGCTGTTTCACTACTGCTGTGTCTGTCTTATGAATGAGGTAATCAGCACCTTGAAAACTCCATTGTGCTTTAGAATATCCTCTAGTACTGTAGTGCCATAGATGTAATTGTTTACCATTAAGTAAGTTTCAGTGAGGACCATTGACTGTGCTAAATCTTGTGTTGGAGCATTAATGGGGTGAATGCAAGTTACAACTCAAAATCATAAAATGTTTTTATAGAATGTACTATTAAAAGCTCTCTTTAGAATGTGAAAAACTTCCTATCCTGCCTCAGGTTCTCAGTGTGTGAGTAAAACTGCTTTTTAGAATCCTGTGCAGAGGCAATAGAATCAGCATATTTTTCTTTACCTTCTGAAAAATAGACATATCTAAAGCAGTTTTAGAAAACTGCTTTTGTGATCAGCTATTTGGCCTCTGAATGACTTTGGATCTGGGCACATACATTTATACTGAAAGTAATGCACCACCCCTCCCCGCTATGAAACAGGAATTATATACAAATCTTTACAATAGAAATTAGCAATTTTTTGTGAAGAGGTCATTGACACACTCACGTTGCCCCTTCCTCGTCTTTAATGTACACACAACAAAAAGCCACTGCATGAGGCCTGGCCTACGGTAAAAGTTAAATCACTCATGGATGTGAAAAATCCACACACCTCCATGCCAACTTAACCTGGGGTGGACTACTACAGCAGTTCACAGGTAGACAAGGCATAAGAACAGATTGAAATCCATAGTCTTGAAAGATCCTCTTTCTCATGATAGAGACAATTTCAAGGTGCCACTAGGGAAAGGAGTTTATGCATCTTCAGTATCGTCACTCATGCTGGTAAACTAAACTCAATTCAAGGTGTAACCTTATCCATGTCACTTAAATTCCATCTGTTTGCACAGGGTGGTTTAATAGGCACTAATATTTACTGATTGTACTCAAATCCCAGAAGTTAAGTTTAGCACAGCTGCATTAGAGGAGTAAGTAATTTACAAAAGCTTAAGATTCAACTACCTAGCCAAAATTGCCATCTTTAGTATCTAACGCCACAATATATTTATTGTAGCATCTAACTTAGTCCTTTTCTATGGCCATGCCACTGAAAACAGTCTTACCAGCTACCTCAGGGGTGTCCAACCTGCCTTTCAGAGCCACATAGGCCCTCAAAAGTTAATAGGCGGCTCATTGTAAAGGCACCAAAATGAATGACGCTGTATAAAGTCTCCTAAATGAAGTGGGAAGCAGCTCCAGTGCTGGATATCTTCAAAAGCCAACTAGCCCATGTACTTATAAATACACTGAAAGGAACAATCAGGCATTCAGAGAGACATGATATTCTAATGGATGAAAAAATCCTAAATTGTGTGTAATCACACTGAAAAGAGGTCAGGGTGGAGGAACAGAGGGAATCAAAGACATTTTGTGCTGTACAAGTGAAAAAGATTTGTTTAAAAACCAAAGACAAAAAGCATAAAAATAGCAAGGAAGTATTATTCCATTAATGAGATGGAAAAAAAATCAAGACACTAGATTCAGTAACTCAAGCAAAAATTGCTACAGTGTCTTTGGCAAGGGCTTAGTAAAGCTTTCATAGAAGGTAAGACTATTTTTAATTTACTTAACATGGCTAAACCACAAATTCTGTATCATAAAATGCAATGACTCAGCAGGAAAGTGGCTAACTCACCATCTTGAGAATAGCCAGCAGGACAGGAACGAACCTGAGAGAGAACTTCATACAGGGCCACAGGGAACAGCAGACGTTTTCTCTTAGATTAGGGATACTTCATGTGGACTCCCTCTCTAAAAGCCCAATTTTGAGAACTGCTGTTCTAACCTTCTTGCTGTGATACGAGATACTAAATGCCATTGCTTGTTATAATTGAAGTGGCAGCAAGCAAGGAATTACACTGATGCTAAGTTCAGGTAAATGGAAACCTTAAAACCCTTTGATGTATTTAAAGCTATCAGTGTGCCCGTTTGGCTCACAGATTCACACTAAATACACATTTCCAATCACTTAAGCTTTGCTGAAGTGTTTTACGGTGGGTATGTCTTCACTAGCCACCGGATCCCCAGGCAGCAATCAATCCAGCGGGGACTGATTTATAGCCTCTAGTCTAGACACAATAAATCGATCCCCAAGCGCTCTCCCCTCCACTCCTGTACTCTAGTGCCGCGAGAGGCACAGGCAGAGAGAGTCAACGGGGGAGTGGCAGCAGTCGACTCACAGTAGCGAAGTCACCACAGTAAGTCCATCTAAGTATGTAGACTTCAGCTATGTTATTCACATAGCTGAAGTTGTGTAACTTAAATCGACACCCCTCTCCCCCAATGTAGACCAGGGCTATATGCTTATTGGATAACATCTGTTTCAATGCATTTTTTAATACACGACTTGATCCTTGGGCCTATTAGGATACAAGCATGGCACCTAGAATAACCAAGGCTAAAACAATAGCATTGAGAATATCATAGTTTTCACCCAAAGCAGAGGCCTGTACCGCTTTTCCTTTGCAGCTGTGGCTACTAAGAGTTCATCTCAACTGCCTCAAGCCCTTTGCTAAACATCAGGATGGACTAAAAGGAAAATAATTCCTTTTAAGGAAACATTTGATTTTACTCAATTGCTTCTTTTCTGCTTGGCCATTCCATTCCCCTGGACAAGAAATGGAACAACAGCCTGCTGCACGTGGGACCCTGAGCTGCTGCTTCTTTTTTTTTTAAACTCCTGCACCAGTTGTTGGCCAAAAATAAACACCATTCCACAACCATATATGTTCAACAGCCCAGTGGTGATTCTGAGGCCGGTCAGGTCCCTTCAGTATTGCTGTTAGTCCACTCTGCCAGAATATACTGTCCTCTTTCCTAAGAGCACGACTCTGCACAGGCTATGCATATAACCCAGCTTAACCGGGAGTGCCTTTTGCACCTATTTTCTTTCCTGGACAAAAACAGTAGAAAGAGTTTAGCTCAGACATGTCAGAAATTACTAGAAGTGTTTCAGGATCCTTTTCTGTGGCCCGTGCTGAATTTCTATTCTCCTGTGGAACTAAAGAAGGATAATTTTCTCTTGGGACCGACTTTAAGGTACCTGTCCATCTGCTGGCATTCAAGCAGAGTCAAGGTGTGTAACATTGAGGACTGGATGAAAAATACATTCCAGAAAGACATCTGTCGCAAGCATGAAAATACGGTCAATGATTTTTTAATACAAGTTTGCAACAGGTATGTTCTTGGAGTGTGAAATTTTACATCTAATGTAAAGCTTAAGCTCATTAAATTGAAAGCATTGAAGCTTTTAACTGTTTACACATCCTTACTGGAATAGAACACTAAATACCCAAACATTTTGGCTTTGGAGCACCATTTATTTAGTTTTAGCACCACATAAGAAATTGGTTTTAGTGAAAATGTAGTGCATTTTTCTGTTGAATTTTACTGGGCTTCCCTCAGCCCTTACTCGCTTGACAAATGCATGTGATATTCCCAGGGTATTAGTGACAATGCATGCTAAAAAAAATGTGGCTAACAAACTATTTAATAGCACCATTCTGTGCAAGACAAAAATATCCTCAGAAATGGAGCAAGAGATTTAATCCCTAAGAGAGGGAGATGCTTTTTTATGAATAAAACTGGCATCTCCCTAAACATGTTGGTAAACTCAAATTCCACTTTTCCTCACAAGTGCCAGGCAGACACATGTGAAGGTAGAATGGATCTAAGGTTTACATCATTTTATTCTGTGTTAGAACAGCCTAACTCTCTTTCTCTGTAAATTGTTAATGCTCTTGTTATCTATGCTGAGGTTTAATGATTATAAATATATTTCTGAGCTTTATGAAAACTACTTTGGGGTCATACAGCCAAGGGGACAGCACAGTGAGGAAAAGCAGACCTCAGTGCAAGCCCAGCTGTGCTAGCTAAAGTAAATGACAAAGACAAAAGCTGACACCAGTCCAAATAGCAAGGATGCAGAGGCACAGCCATTTCTTCACACAATTTAGCAACAGAAAATTGCTGCTCTTAGATTAGATCTGGAATTAAAAACTGAGATTTCCACCACCTGCACCCTGAACTGTGGGTTTATGATGCAGAGCCTGCAGTTCTAGGCGTCCGATGGGACAAGAAAGAATGCGAGAGCTAGAAATACTTTTATATTTGTGGCCTTTTAGCTTGCACTAGCTCTGAATTTGTATGGTATGTAAACACCTGTAGGCCAGCTGCAAAAGATGATCAGAGCCATAGGGAATCAAATGGATGAAGGTACAGGCTCAGATTACGGAGAGAAAAAAAAAAAAAGGTAGAGGCAGGCAGAGTTGGAAAAGGCAGCTCTCTTCAAGCCATGTGTATCTAAGGCTGCACTGGTTTCACAAAAGTGACTGTGACAGAACCAGTTTTAAAGAAAAGTTTCCAGTTAATTTAGTTTTAATTAACAAAATGATTGTTGAGAATGGGAGCGGGAAACGGTGCGGGTGTGAATTCTTCATTTCCAGAGATTCCAACAGCATCCACGCTGGCTACAGAATTGCATACCACATTCTAAGCTTTTATTTTGTTGTATATATAAAATGTTTCTAGCCAAAGCCATGCTATCCCTAAAACAATAGCTTTCAACCACCAGATTAATCTCAACGAGTTAACTCTGAAACCTAACAATGACAGCATGTACAACCATTAACTATTTCAATGCTGATTATTTTAGATTCCCTAGCTGCCAAAACTACAAACTTGTTCCCTCTTCCTGCTGCTCATAACTTCTATAATGCAGTTATGTTAATACAAAGATCTCAGGCACACGGAACATGGAAAATGGGGACAGTGTAAAATACATTAAATTGACATGTTCAGTCTTAACTCTGCATTTCCTGTCTCTCAGGTATTTTACCTCCAATGACAAGTAATCTGTATTCAAACCAATCAGAGGTGTCTGCATCCTTGACTTCCTCAGTAAAGTTTTTTGGGGCAGGAACTGAACTGCATGCAGCCCTCATGCTTTCCTCCAGAGCACCTCTCCTGCTTCATTCTCATGGGCAGAAAACGAAGCGAAGTGAAATTCCCAAGAAACCTTCTCTTTGCTAACATGACCACACTTTGTTATCTCTCCACAACAGTGGAGCAGACAGGCATGGTGGGGGATACCTGGCATTAGCAAACATGCTCAAGATTAAAAACACAACAAGCTAAATTGATTTTGCCCTACAGTTAATGACCAGTTCCCCTTTTACTGAGCAATTGTTTGTGGCGTCTAAAATCCCTTCATAGTCTGAAGACATGAAGCTTTGTTTTGAAAGGCTCACTCAGCCTATTCCAGCTCTGGCAGACAAACTCCTGAATAAAGGTCTCACCAGTCACTAGACTATAAAGCAGCATTAAACATTTCTGTAGTCAGATTCCAGGCAAACAATCCTACAGGAGCTCCATCTCAAAGCCGATTTAGTTGAATAAATTAGATAGTAAAACCAGTGCTTTTAAAATTGCTTCCCCGAGGAAGATGTCAGAAAGACAGTCACTTTGGATGGAAGGGTTGTATTCTGCAAAGAGGCCAGATATCCCACCAACTTCTGATCCTGAAGCTGCCAGTCCTGCCAGTTTTTACATACATTTAGCACAAGTCAGTCTCGAGCTAGTAGAAGGGAAACAGGAAAAAAGTGACACTGATTCTTTTGGTTAGCATTTGGCACAAGTGTCCTCATAAGATTCTGCATTTGCCTCTGGGCAGGGTTTAAATGAAGCTTATTAGGAGAGTGGATTCCACACATCTATTTATTAGACCTTGATTTTTATCTGTTATGCAGTAGTTTAAAAGCAAAACTACTCTGTGCTTCCTTCCTCCCTTTGCAGGGTGTGTGTGTGTGTGTGTTAATATTTGCAGGTGGTTCAGTGTTGTGGCAGGAGGGAAGAACCGATGTGTACATATTAAGTAAAAGCAAGCAGTTTTGATCAAATCCAATCAATAACTCAGTTAAGTTGGCCCCAATATCCTTATTTATCCCTGCTCCTTAATTCTGGGGGACGACCATTTCTCTCTCTGAGTTGCAGTCACAATACTTATCCCCCAGCACGCAGGATGGGCCAAGCAGGCTCCTTCACTCATGCTATATCAGACAACCAAAGTCCTTTCAGTGCAGGTATCCATTAAAATCTCTGGCCAGGACCTGATGCTGGAATTCCCTAATGTGCCAGGGCACTAGAAGCAGGGTTCAGAGGTTGCTGTTGACCTGAATAGATGGGCTGAGGCAGAGAGAAGTCAAGTGACTTCTGTGAGGTCGCATAGCAAGTCAGTGGTAGAGTCAGGATTTATAACCCAAATGTCTTGATTCCCAGACCATTGCTGGAAGAGCTTGCTTTGCATTTCTTTTCAGAACTTGATTTTGGGAATCGCGAAGTGGGAATTGCTTTTACAGATTATACACATTATTCTTCTGTCTCACGTACAATGCCATGTTTTCAGATGCCCAAACTTGCTGTCCCTGACCCTTTCTGGATGTGGCCACGTCACAGATGATTACCTGTTGTTGCTTCTCAAAAGCTGCCCAAACCTCAAGATACTCAAACTGGAAAACTGTGTGCGGATCACTGACCAGACTCTGGAAGCTGTGATCCTCTATGGGGGCTCTTTACAAACCCTCCATGTGGATTTCTGCCGGAACATAACTCAGGCTGGTCTGAAGACAGTCCAGGAAAAATGTCCTTCAATAATGCTGAAAGCAGAGAGAAGTGCAGACATGATTCCGGACAACAAACCCCGGGAAAAACTGATGCTTGAAAGAGCAGTGAGAAAACTGGTATGGCACTAAGAAGGACCAATTTGCAGAAATTCAATATATGTGAAGAGAGATTGACATTTTGAGGTTCCACCCAGTTTGCAATTAAGCCCATCTATATGCATATTGGCTTTGTTTATAAAAAGAATATTTTATACATTTCACAAGTACTCCCATTTCACCCAGGCAAGGAGTTTACCTTGATCGTGATAGTCTGGCACCACTGGTCCTTCATACTGGAAAATTCCCTGTGCTGGCACAAAGGAGATGGTAAATCCTGACTAGCTGATAATGACCCTGCTGACAGTCTTCCTCATTGTGGTATATTTTGCTTGGCTAACATGTATGATGATGTATCCAAATCTCAGGGCCCAAGGGGATGGATAAACTTTTTATTCACAAGGAAATATGCCTATTCTGTCATAGAAGAATCATGAATTCTGAGTAGAATCTAGCCCCTCTCTGTCATACCTTCACCTTTTCTGCTAAGGCACATCTCACTCCTGACAAACGTCACTTACTATACTTAACATGTGATCTGTTAGTGTACTTTATTTAAACCATAAGTTCTATGAAAGTGAGCGCAAACCAAGCTTTTAACATTTACATAATGTACACTGACAATTTATGCTTCAGTTTACGTTACTGTAAACAGTAATGTAAGTTTAAGGTTAACACAAGCTTGTTTACACAACTGTCCAAGCTGAGAAGGCACTGATTTACTAAAGTGCCCTTAAACTCTCTTTTCAAAAGCCTTCTACAGCAATGATATATTTGTCTAACTCAGAGGAGGATTTTATACACCCATGTGCAGTAATAGAACACGTGGAGGGCAGTGCGCACCAATCAGACTGTTACAATAACACATGCAGAGCACAGTACCACTGTATGTGGTTTTGCTACAACATATTGTAATATACTGAAAGATTACACTGAAATGGCCAGCACTATCTTTATCTCTTGTCTAAAACTGGCCTTAGACCAGAGGTTCTCCAAGTGTGGTCCACAAGCTCCATTCAGGTGGTCCGTGGATATTTCCCTCTAAGGTGTGTATCTGAGTGGCCGTACACAAGAGAATGAAGGGCCACCCACTGAATTAGTGGAGCCGCGCAGGCATGGCTCCACTAATTAGGTGCCTGGACCCTGGAGAAGATGCACACATAAGGTGGTGGTGGTGGCCTCAGGGGGAATAAGGGGTAGATGGGAGGGGGAAGTGGGGTGAGAAGAGGAGATGGGTGGAATTTGGGACGTGCAGGGCTGCAGTGGCCAGAGAAACAGACAACTTTCCCCAGCTCCAGGGCTGTGGCTGCTGGGAAGAGACGGCCCTCCTTCCCAGCCTCAGCAGCTGCTGTGGCAGGGGAGAGACCCCCTCCTTTCCAGCCCCAGCTAGGGGGCTGCCACAGCAGGGGAGAGAGGGCACATCCATCTCATTAGAAAGGTAAGACTACTGATATTAAAATACAAGTTGTGTGCTTTTATTTGTAGAACAAAAAAAACCTTAATTATTATTAAGGTTTTTTTTTATATAGCACTTTTATCCAAAGTGCTTTACAATAGTTTAGCTAATGGTACAAACAACATTTGGAAAGATCATTAAGTGATCTGCGGAGACCCTCAGCAATTTTCAAGTGGTCCTTGAAAAAAAAGTTTGAGAACCACTGCCTTCGACAAAATACATTGTAATATAGGTCAGATTCTTAAACATCCGGGGCTTGTATCTTGCAAGGTTTCAAGACTTATGTCCACCTCTCTGTACATTTGGGTAAAGATAAGCTAACCTTAATCTTCCTGATGCTCAGTTTATTGCACAAGTCCAGCATACAGCGGTTGCCATTAAAAGCCTTCAACTTTTGCCTTGGGTAACATTCCCTCAGAACTTGTAATTATAATTATACTTCATACTAAACATAACAAGGAACATGGCAATACTGGAGATAACTTATCTAAGGCTATTGAAACTTCAAATTTGTCAAGAAATGTTATATTCCGAAAGAATTATATCAACACCACACACCAGTCGCAAATAATCCCACACCTGTACCTGTTTGCCTCAGATTTTCTCTCCCCACCCACCATAAGCCTCTTAAGAACTTTGTGCTTATGATAATGATGGATGGATAAAATTAATACCTCATCATTTATCTTTTTCTGTAAGACTAGACTTGGATCACAAGGAAGGAGGCTGGACTTCCCACTTGGAAACATAATCCAGTCAGTATGCTTTGAAGTGGGAAAAAATAGCTCTACTTTATCAGATAACTAACTAATCATTAGCTTCTCCTGATTAAAGCCATCTACTGAGCATAGTAACTTTGTCCTTTTAAGTATAGGGTGGGTTAGAATGAAGAGCATTGTGTAGTCACAGAAGAGAAATCCTTAGAATAGCAAAGTCATCTTTTCCTCCTCTCCCCTCCCCAATCCTCCCAAATCCAGGTGTGAGTGATATCTTTCAAAGGCTCATGGTGCTACTACAGTATCCAAGACCCTCCTACCAAAAGCAGCGTCCATTTGCTTCACCTAGTGTCTAGCAAACGAGTGACAAGATGAGCAAGCTGCTGCCTTGCAGATTTTTTTGTAGGATACGAACAGCTTTTCTGCGCATCACACAGAATGTAGTCTTACTTGATCCTCCCGGTAAGATTTTTCTCTATTATTTACATTTATACTGCAGTACAGTTTAAAGGTTGGGCCCCACTATTCTAGGTGCTGAAGTAAATCATATTGCTTACAAATAGCTTTATGCTCCTATTTAATGCTGTACTTTGGCCACTCTCTTGCTCTTGGGAGGGTCAGAACAAAGAGTCCTAGATGCCGGAGTTCTTGCCAGGTAGATCTTAACAGCTCTGGCAGGTTCTAATGTGTACCAGGGTTTTTCCTTGGGATATTGAATATGCTGCAGAATGATGCCAGACCTCTCCCCCAATAGCTGTAAAACGGTGCTAGTAAGTGTGAAAGCTTGGCCAAGGTGCTAGTCCCCTGTTCCTGAAGGGGGAGTAAAACATCTTCATTGGCAACCGACAAGTCTGGTCTTGTCTCCTCAACTGTAGTGGTGCAGGTCTGTCCAAGCTTCCCTAGCACAGCTCTGCCAATGAAGCTCAGGTCTCCTTTCAACATCCTGATTATCTCAAGACTGCAAAGATTAGTCCAGTAAACTGTATGGAGACAGTGATTTGTACAAATGAAAACCAGGATATCACCACAAACTAATTCAAAATCCACACTTATTCAAAGATGAGAAGCTAGCAGCCTATATTACATATATGTATACACACACGCCTGCCTTTCATTTCCATTTAATACAAAATGCATCTCAAAACACTAAAACAATACAACCGCAAAAATTAGTCTGAATGTCATCAGTACACCAAACACCAAGTGAACAACTGGACCCCCCACCTAATGTATTATGAAATGTATCTATTGTAAGACTTTCCTTTAAAAGCTTATGTCAAGTAGGAATGCCTGAGCTTTCTTCAAAAGTAAAGCAGATAGTAAAGTTTGTGGACGATACCAAGCTGGGAGGGGTTGCAAGTGCTTTGGAGGATAGAATTAGAATTCAAAATGATCTGGACAAACTGTTGAAATGGTTTGAAGTAAATAGGATGAAATTCAATGAGGACAAATGCAAAGTACTCCAATCAGGAAGGAACAATCAGTTGTGCACATTCAAAATGGGAAATGACTGCCTAGGAAGGAGTACCGTGGAAAGGGATCTGGGGGTCATAGTGGATCACAAGCTAAATATGAGTCAACAGTTGCAAAAAAAGCGAACATCATTCTGGGATGTATTAGCAGAAGTGCTGTAAACAAGAGAAAAGAGAGTTACCTTTTTCCATAACTGGTATTCTTCGAGATGTGTTGCTCATGTCCATTCAACTTAGGTGTGTGTGCTCGCCACATGCACCGGTGCTGGAAGTTTTTCCCACAGCAGTATCTGTAAGGGACCTGCTCTGGTGCCCCCTGGAGTGGCGCGCACATGCCGCGGTTTATAGGGCACCACTGGCTCCACCCACTCTCAGTTCCTTCTAGCTGGAAACACCAACTGTGGGGAAGGAGGGCGGGTTGTGGCAAGGACATGAACAACACATCTCAAAGAACACGAGTTACGGAAAAAGGTAACTTCGAGTGCTTGCTCATGTCCATTCAACTTAGGTGACTCCAACGCAATATCCCTCGGAGGTGGGTAGGAGTTCATGGATGTGTAGACTGCAACACAGCTCTGCCAAACCCAGCGTCATCCCTGGCCTGCTGAGGGATGGCAAAGTGGGCCGTGTGCACCAAGGACCACATTACAGCTTGACAAATGTCCTGGATCGGGAAGTGTGCCAGGAAGGCTGCCGAAGATGCCTGTGCTCTGGTCGAGTGGGCTCTGACGATCAGCGGCGGAGGGACTCTTGCCAACTCTAGCAGGTCGGGCACTGCATACCGAAGCCATGGTGCTTGGCGCCGAGTCGGAGCATTGCTCCAGTGCCGGGGTGAGGGCCAACTCCATGAGGAGCGCTCTTAAACCAATATCTCACTCCTTTTTAGTTCTTGGCTTGAAGGACTTTCAGCGATCACAGGGCTTAAAGCCTGGGGACCAGGGCTTGCCCCATCCCAAGGCAAAGTCCTGTTCAGGACCTACAAAGTCTCTAACTATAGCTAACGGATTTACTAACACTAACAGAAAACTATATACACTATAATACAAGAATTAACTAGTTTGTACGAATGAGAAAGCAACAGCACTACTGAAGCAGCAACAACTCGTGGCTTCTTTATATTTATAGAATATTTATACATATGCAGTGTGCATGTATGTATGTGTGTATCTCTGTATATTTAATTGTGCTAATTACTCCATTGCCTCTCTCTCATGCTCCACTGTATAACTGGCAAATAATCAATCACAGAAACTAGCATTTCTTACATGGAATCAAGATACACCAAATAAAGTGATTGCCATTTTAAAAAAGTGAACATTTGCCAAAGGTTACCACGTGTTGATATCTAATATACCACAGCTTCCCCCTACATTCAGAACAGGATGTAACTGTGGTACCTCAAATACCACAATTTGTTAACCGTTGGAAAAAGTTGGCATTTCAATGGCAAAGCTCCTGATTGACACCTTTTATTCATCAGCATCTAGAAGGCACATTCAATTCAGAACTTGTTACCAAAAAGAACAGTTTACTTACTGTAGAGTTACTGGGATTCTTTGTCCATGTGGATCCCAATCCTGAGGTGTGTGCCCCAGGAGTGGGATCCATATAGACAAATCCTCAAAGAAAAACTTGTTTTTTTTGTGCTATGTTGATCCTTGTTTTTCTGGCTACACAGCGAGAACTCTTATTATTGCTCTAGGCATGGGAGAATAGAACACATACATTACTTTATCCCAGTTGCCCAGATAGTCTTGAAATTAAGATTTATTTCAATTCAAGTGTTTTCTTCTTTGCTTAGTGTTTGAATAGAATGAACCACATCATGTTATCTGAGTTCTCCTTGAAGCTGATTCTTATTGCAAGGAGGTTGCATGTTTTCCAAATCTATTTTCTAATGTAAGGTAGGTTTCACACAATCCCAGTAAAACCAGATTTTACGTACTGTATCAACAGGCTCATCTTTTCCACTGCAATGAATGTGCAACCAGCTGTGGAGAAAATGAAATGGTTCTTATTTGGAGATACAGAAAGCGGAATGGGGATTTCTACAGCTTTGAATATTAACTTATTTACTGCATTTAGTTTTAGTTTTCCTTTAATTTAATTACATCTTGATCAACAAAATAGTATAAATGCAAGTTAAGGGAGGGGCAATGAAGAAGTAACACACAGCCCTAGAGAACCCTAGGAGCAGTGAGTTTTAATTCATGAGGAAGGTCTCATCAGTGTCAATGGCCATCAGGAGGACTCACCATGTAAGAGAATCTCACAACAGACCAAGAAAAGAATTTCAAATACTACTGCATGTTGACAACTTAATGACATTGCAACAGTGTGACTCCATAATGTTTTCTTATTGCAATGGCCTCAAAAATTCGAATAGCACCCATCAACATCCAGCAACCTAAGCAACAAAACTG